CACAAACACACAGACACACACTTAATTTCCCATTTGCTGGACAAAACTTTCATCACCACACCTGTAATTATTTATAGGAGCGACTGCAGGGACTTGTCTGCAGAAAGCTACGCGTGCACCCGAGGCAGCAGACTTCAAAGATACACATCAACAAATCAGCTGTTTCCAGCTGTCAGTGCCCACAACTTATCATCAGTCAATCAGAGTATAATCAATTAATAAAAGCTCATAATTTATGAGGACTTTTTTCTCGTAGGTGGTCTTTAAAGAGAATGCAGAATTATGGCTCTTCCACACCTGGAAGCTACATCCTGTGCATCCCGCTCTTCCTCATCATCTGTGTCTTTTTCTAAAAGCTGCACTGACAGACGGGGAGTTCATCCACGTCCTGGAGGATGTTCCACACCATCACACCGGTGTCAGCAGGTACTGAGCGCTGCTAACAAGCACAGCAGCTGTCTGATGTTAGCCTAATGCCTCCCAGACCGCAAACCGTGCTCTGCTGGCTGATCAAGTCTCTGTGCGAGCTCGGCGGCGTTTCCACAGTTATGCGGCAGTGAAATCTGAGCAGACTACTTTTTTCCTCCCAGCTCCACCAAGCTGTGGACAGAGACCGGAGAGGATGGCGTTCAGAAAACCTCTGCAGCTGGATTTGAAGCAGAGAGCTCGCTGTGGTTAGGCGGTGATGTCTGCCTCACCACAGAAGCTGTCGGGCTTTACCTGCAGCCTCACTGGATCATCTGGAGGCTCAGCGTGAGCGACGCCTGCACGCCTGTCAGAGTCTCTGAGCTTTTTCAGATCCTGGTGAGGTCACAGAGAACCGTCGTGTCCTGGTTTCACGTCTTGGCTGTTTCCTGCATGCCGGATCAGCTAACAGCCTCGTATGAAGTCACCGGAGCGCACACCGATATTCCATCTCTAATAACCGACCACATTTCCACTGCTAATGACACGGCAGCAGCCATCTTGGCTCCGCGCGCTGTCTCATTACAGACTGCGAAACCGATGGCGGCGTGGCGGCACGACCGACCTGCATGTGTGTGTTTGAGAGTGTGTGTGCTGAGGACGGAGGTTTGAAAGCAGGGAGAGTGTTAAAGGCTGCAGGTGTTTTTATAAGAAAGGCAGATTTACGCTGCCGTGCATCGTCTCTGTCGCCTCCGAACTCTTCTGATGATTCGAGCGTCATCGTTTCTTCTGTAACTGTCAACGCCGCTCGAGCAGGAAAGAGGAAAGAAAACTGGAAAAAAACCCAACCCCAGTCCCCAGAGATGACGGGATTTAGTCATGTGCAAACAGGAACTGCACAGACTCTGTGAGAGCCTCATGATTCAGCAGCAATAATATGAGGAGACTGTTTCACTGTGGAGGAGGTTTGGTCCACTCCTCTTCACAGCGTTGCTTCAGTGCATTGATGTGTGCAGCATTTATCCATGCACAGCTCTTTGAGCTCTTAGATCTGCTGCTGTACTTGATCTGTGTCCTGCTGATGACACAGTTTGGTCCAAGCTTCAGCTATGGGACAGACGTCCTCATACTGGTGCACAGAGGAGTCCACTCAGTGACTGTGAGGGGCTTAAATCCTCACCCTGCACAGACGCTTGGTGTGAGGTGTCTGTGCAGATATGCTTGGATTTGTGTTTCATGGGCAAACATCTCCGGCCTGGTCTGTAAAAAGGGACGTAGAAGCTTTGCAAACCTCAGCTGTGCTGCCATGAACTTTGACCTGCTACCTGAGCCCTGGACAGTCTGGATGGAGCTCTTAGGTTTTTTGCACGGTCTGACCACAAACTCACAAAAGCTTTGCTTTTATAAAGTTTTGCTGATGATTAATTAATCAGGCGCATCAGCAGCACCTGGCTGCCTGCAGGAGGGAGTCTTCAGCTCTCTGTATCTTAACGTTGAGGCGAGCAGGTCTGTTGTCACTGCTCTACAGTATACTCAGGTTGATAGGGTGTTACTCCTGACATCAATAGCAGCATTTTGCACAGATGAAGTTCATAACTTGAGTTTTACATTGAGAAAATCACCTGGAGCTCCTGGGCGTGCGTCTGGCGCAGTAATCCTCCGTGTCTGCCTCCCATTACGGCTCACCTGTTGCTCACCGCAGATGTTGGATCGCTAACAACATCGTGTTTTCTCCCAGCAGTGACTGATGAGCTCCAGTTGATGTTTTTGGAGCGTTTTCCTCATATTTGTTGGTGAAACAGCAGATTTTCTTCATTATATCTGAATTCTGCTCAGATCGGTTTATGGCCTTTAATTAGCAGAGGACTGGAGAGGCTTTCTAACCCTGCTGCTTATTACAGACTCACACTGAACGCGTATGTGTGTGAGTGCGGGTTTGGCCTAATCTTTCGGCATCTTTGCCAATAAGCACTTACAGCTGTGGTATGTAGAGTCTGCGTCCTTGTGAGGACCGCGGTGACTTCCAGACTTCCAGAGGGCTGCTGGAGAGCGAAGGGTGGCTTCAGGTTAGGGTTTGTAATCAGCTGGGATACCTGGGAACACACGTGTGTCAGTGTGGGTCCTCACAAAGACAGAAATACAAACATATATGTGTGTGTGTGCTTGTGACCTAAATGTTGGTTGCGTTGCGGTCTCTGGACCTCTTCAAGGGTGCGCGAGCCTCGACACCACAAGCACACAAGCAGCGCCTCAGCCAAGAGAGAGGGAGGCAGGACGGGAGAGGATGGTCGCCAAAAGGAACGAAGCTTTTCAGAGAGTCTTTGTGTCGACAGAGAAAACAGCAGAAGATACGTGGGGGAAACCTCCTTCTTTCTTTTCTCTCAAAAGACAAAAGTTAAAGACGACGTGGAGAAGATGGAAAAAACAAAAAATTAACATGAGAGGAAAATGAAAAAGAAGAAGTTACAGGAGAGAAAAGCCAGAAAACCAAAGTGAAGAAAATCAGACAAAGAGAGGAACAAATAAAAAACACAACAGATGTTTTTAATTTCATCCTTTCTGCTGAGCTTTTAGTATTTTCTTCCTTTTCTCTTGTTTAAACGAGCCTTCAGGAGCATCTGCTGGCTCAAACCCTTCAAAGCTTTCCTGCTGTGAGACATGTTAATACGGCAAACAGGAGGCGCACCGAGAAGGTGACTCTGGGGGGACTCGAACCCACAACCCTCAACCTGACGTCATCATTTTCTTTTCTGTCCCTCGTTCACAGATTTGGCTCCAGCCATTCTCCTCCATCTCTCTCCTCCTCCTTGTCCCAGCACAGCAGGCGTCCACCCTTCACTTCTGACCCTCTTTAACGTGTCAATGACCAGGAAGACGAAAGGAAGTGACCTCAGCCCGCAATGTGTGTTCAACAGCCTTGAAGGGTCAGCTGTGGTGAGAAAAGTGGTTTGTTTTTATATGTGGTTCGAGAAAACGTCTCTGCCTGCGCACGCTGCAGTGCTCTTCAGATAAAAACATGTGCCGTGCTTCATTAGTCTACGGGAATTCTCTAAAAAGGAAATCTTCAAAATATTTAAACATCACATGTGTATTTAAGTGGAAATTCAATCATTTTCAGGTATGAGCTCCAGCAGATTGAAATTCAAGGATTCTTGGAGGCAGCTGAGGTGGTCTGGGTCTCTGACCACGATGAGGTATCCTGGGCATGTCCTACCAGGAGGAGGCCCGGGGCAGAACCAGTACAGGCGGGAGTCATTACACCTCTCAGCAGGCCTGGGAACGCCTCGGTGTTCCCCCAGGTGAGCTGCAGATGGTGACGGGGAGAGGGAGGCCAAGTCTTCTCTGGTCAGGCGGCGTCCCGTGCAACCCGGCCCAGATAAGCAGCAGAAAATGGACGTACAGAGAGTTTGAACGTGTGATCTAATACGTAATATCTACCCAACAAAGATGGCGGCTGCAGCAGAAGAAAAAAAGATCGACTAAAATATTTAGTGTTTATTGCCTCAAATCAAAAATCTGAGAGCTGCAGACTGAAACTTTGAGAAGTGCTGCTGAGCTCCAAACGCTGCAGACAGACCGTGAGGAGCTTCGAAGTCAGGACTGAAAACTGCTGTAAAAGAGTTTGTGAGCTGAAGAACGAGCCTGTGCACGAGCAGCAGCAGTGTATGCAGAAACTCCTGCGCTGGTTATTAATGCGATCGCTGACCGCTGATCTGAGATAATCACAACCTCTGATTCCGAGCAATGCTCCTATAACACAGGCACGCCAACTGTGTGTGTGTGTGTGTGTGTGTGTGTGTGTGTG